TCTATTCAATTGGATCAGGGTGGAGTATTCCCCATCCCTGTCCGCTAATCACTTATGTCAGGCTTAACGTGTGTGTGTGTGTGTGTGGGGGGGGGGGTTCCTTTGCTTATCGAATCCCCATCCTACCCACTTAATGGTGGTTTTGGTTTAAAGTATTTGAAAACAAAACAAAAAAGAAAATCGGATATATTTTGTTAATTTTCGATTATTCTTCATTCTCTCCAGCTAACATTTATCAATGACATTGTAATTTTGAGCAGAAAAAAATATACCAAAGACCTAGCTGGGTGATGAAGGCTCTTGTTGAGTTTTTAAAAACAAATTCTGGTATACCCAACTTGCCACCTGTATCCCCGAAATAAAGAAAAGTGCAGGTATTTCAGTGCTAATTAAACCATCCACTGTAAGAATACAATCTGGATATCTTTTAACATATTTGTGGCTTACACACAGTAAATAATAAATACAAAAAATATTAAAACAAATAAAAAATCCGGATATCGTTATCCTACAAACGTAATTAAACTGCTGCTTTGCGGAAAACGTGCAGTGTTACTTGGCTGCATCAAATAGCCATTATGAGCAAAACAATTACGTATCTTCGTAATTATCCTGTAAAAGGGAAATGGAAATAATACTGATATGTATCACAAATGGAGGAAACATTGAATATGAATTATTTTTGTTCCTTTCCCGTATTCTGCTTAAGTCTAAGTACAACTATATTGTTTTGGTAGAATAAGTTTTTTTTTTTATTAAACTATGCTTTCATACACCTATAAAGTGGATGTCACTTATCAGGCGCGGATCCAGGATTTCTTAGGGGGGGGGGGGCCCAAATTTGAAATTATGCGAGCCAAAAATTGGAACGTAATGGTGACCAGCAGTGACGTAATGCGGGGGGGTGCAGGGAGGGGCGAGTTTCCCCCTCCCCCCTCCTCGAAACGCGATATCTTTGACGTTTCATTAAATTATTAGAGAAAGAAGACGATTCATAGTACCGTTCTCGAAAATAATCCTCGTCTGAATTCATTTTCACCGCCCCCCGGCCCCTCCTGCGCGAAGCGCGGAAGCTTTTACGATTCATTAAATCATTAGAGAAAGAAGACGATTCGTTGTACAGTTCTCGACTCTTAATCCTCGTCTGAATACGGGTTACCCCCTCCCGCGCGAAGCGCGGAAGCTTTTACGTTTCATTAAATCATTAGAGAAACAAGACGATTCGTTGTACATTTCTCGACTCTTAATCCTCGTCTGAATTCAGTTTTCCCCCTCCCGCGCGAAGCGCGGAAGCTTTTACGATTCATTAAATCATTAGAGAAACAAGACGATTCGTTGTACATATTTTCTCGACTCTTAATCCTCGTCTGAATTCAGTTTTCCCCCTCCCGCGCAAAGCGCGGAAGCTTTTACGATTCATTAAATCATTAGAGAAAGAAGACTATTCGTTGTACCGTTCTCGAAAATAATCCTCGTCTGAATTCATTTTCACCGCCCCCCCGGCCCCTCCTGCGCGAAGCGCGGAAGCTTTTACGATTCATTAAATCATTAGAGAAACAAGACGATTCGTTGTACATTTCTCGACTCTCAATCCTCGTCTGAATTCAGTTTTCCCCCTCCCGCGCGAAGCGCGGTAGCTTTTACGATTCATTAAATCATTAGAGATACAAGACGATTCGTTGTACATTTCTTGACTCTTTTAATCCTCGTCTGAATTCAGTTTTCCCCCTCCCGCGCGAAGCGCGGAAGCTTTTACGATTCATTAAATTATTAGAGAAAGAAGACGATTCATAGTACCGTTATCGAAAATAATCCTCGTCTGAATTCAGGTTCACCCCTCCCGCGCGAAGCGCGGAAGCTTTTACGTTTCATTAAATAATTAGAGAAACAAGACGGTTCGTTGTACAGTTCTCGACTCTTAATCCTCGTCTGAATACAGGTTCCCCCCTCCCGCGCGAAGCGCGGAAGCTTTTACGTTTCATTAAATCATTAGAGAAACAAGACGATTCGTTGTACATTTCTCGACTCTTAATCTTCGTCTGAATTCAGTTTTCCCGCGCGGAAGCTTTTACGATTCATTAAATCATTAGAGAAACAAGACGATTCGTTGTAAATATTTTCTCGAATCTTAATCCTCGTCTGAATTCAGTTTTCCCCCTCCCGCGCGAAGCGCGGAAGCTTTTACGATTCATTAAATCATTAGAGAAAGAAGACTATTCGTTGTACCGTTCTCGAAAATAATCCTCGTCTGAATTCATTTTCACCGCCCCCCTCCCGGCCCCTCCTGCGCGAAGCGCGGAAGCTTTTACGATTCATTAAATCATTAGAGAAACAAGACGATTCGTTGTACCGTTCTCCATGCTTAATCCTCGTCTGAGTTCAGTTTCCCCCCTCCCGCGCAAAGCGCGGGGGCTTTTACGTTTCATTAAATTATTAGAGAAAGAAGACGATGCGTTGTATCGTTCTCTACACTAATCTTTGTCTGAATTTTATGTTCTTTGATGTTCTTTGTCTGCTCCTTTTTCTTTCTACGTCCTCTTCCTTTTCTCTCCTCTTTTTTTTAGGGGGGGGGTGGGCGGTGATTGTTTGGGTACCGCCCCCACCGCCCCCCTGGCTACGCGCCTGCGGTCAGATTAACACATTTTGATACCTTGTCCGACCCCGGAAGCTCAGACGTTTAAGGCAATAATTACGGTCAGACAAGCATTCAGGGGCCCGCCTTAGGGCCCCTGGTGGGGTCGAGGCGGTGGAGCCCCCGGAAGCTCGGGGTTTTTAGGCGTTTAATTACGGTCAGATGAGCATTTTTTATAATCCTTATTTTGTCACACTGGCAGGACACTTAGGCGTGGGGTCAAGGGGACAAAGCCCCCCAAAATCAGGGGTTTTAGGCATTAAATTACCGTCAACTGAGCATCGAAGGGCCCGTCTTAGGGCCCAAGGTGGAATCCAGGGGGCAGAGCCCCGGAAGCTCAGGGGTTTTAGGCGTTTATTTACGGTCAGATGAGCATTTTGTTATAATCCTTATTATTTTGTGTCACTGGCAGGACACTATTTGGCGTGGGATCCAGGGGGCGGAGCCCCCCAAAATCAGGGGTTTTAGGCATTAAATAACCGTCAGATGAGCATCGAAGGGCCCACCTTAGGGCCCTAGGTGGAATCCAGGGGGTAGATGCCCCGGAAGCTTAGGGGTTTTAGGCATTTAATCACGGTCAGATGATCATATTTTGATGCCTCTTTATTTGTTAACACTGGCAGTTAACTATTCTTTCTTTCTTGCTCTCTTTCTTTTTTTTTATTTCTCTTTAATATACTTTTTTTGTTAAAGTGTGGGGGGGGGGCTTGAGGCTCCCGATTCCCGCCGTTCCTCGGTCCCTGACATGTAGGAATCTCAAGAATCGTATTTCTTGCCTGGCTGTAAATTTAGGAATTTGTCATTTTCCAACAAACGCATACAAAAGTATAATTTACTAAAAAGTGAGGAAAAATCTCCGAAATTATGTAATTTCAGCATTATTTGTAATCCACAATTATGGAATTAGAAATAAAACACGTTTGAATTTGATTTTCCCCAAGCCCCGCCCCCCCCCCTCCCCCCTCTATCAGTATGCCAGTATCTCCTATTTTCCTTTTTTCTTTCCCTTTCCTTCCTTCTCTATTATTTTTTTGATTGGGGGGGGGGGCAACAGCCTGGGTGGAAAGGCCCTTTCGCCCCCCCCCCCCCCCCGATCTCCTTCTTCCCCCTTTTCTTTTCTTCTTCCTCTTCTTTCTTTCCCTTTCTCTCCTCTTTCCCTTTCCCTTCTTTTCCTTTCTTCTCTTTTTTTTTTTTTTTTTTTTTTGCCGGGGGGGGGGGGGGGCCAAGGCCCGCTCGGCCCCCCCCCCTGGATCCGCGCCTGTCACTTATAACCATCGAGTAAAAATACACTGTCGCTCATAAAGTTGGAATATTTTTTTGTACCCCAATTTATGGAATTATTTTGACAATTATTTATTCCTAATAGATATAGATAATAGCATTCTTAGATTTTATTGAATAATAATTTGCCAGTGTTTGTTTTGCGTGACTGCTAAAGCATGTGTATGCTACTATGCTTATCAACTAGGGGACCTACGCCCTTAAGTCATAAATGATAGTAATGAGGGTTAATGCTCCACAAAAGGGCACTTATATGGCACATCGACACGGTTTTGATCATGGTGCCTCACAGTTACGAGGCCATTGCTTTGCCACTGAACCGAATGTACCCAGCGGGGGCTAGGGTAGGGGGAAAAATCTGTGTGCCCATGCTTTGAGCCATAATGCATGGTCGTACAGAGGATTTTTTTTATGTTGGGGGCTGGGGTAAAATGCAATGCATTATTGAAAATGTATTGCATTTTCTTTGCTTTGTTTTTTATTTGTGTGGGAACTGTGCTGATGAGAAGTGGGAAGGGGTCTTTATTCTAAAGAAAAAGGGACAGTTTTTCTGCATCAAAAGGTTAAAAAAAAAAAAAATTAAGGTAGTTACTAGAATAATTGGGAAGCACTGTGCCATTTGCGTCGTTCATAAAGTTAATTTTAAAACCAGTAATAATAAATTAGGGACCAGAGTTTATGAAAATTTCGCAATTGAGACTAATTAACCCTGCTCATTGAGAGCGCATATAGGGCCTAATTATATTTAAACGTCTTTGGGCCTAATACATATTATGTTGGCCTATTCGATCAAGGTTAATCAATTTTCTTCGCTTCCTTTTCCTCTCTTTTGAAGAAAAAGAAGAGGAATTCGTCCCTCAAATTGAATAGAGATGTTTCATACTTATTAAACAAAAGTTATCTTGACAATCAAAAATCTTGATCGAGGCTTGCCACACATAGCATTCCATTCATGATCCTTAGAGATGTCATAGCAGGGAGAAACATGAGTCCATGGTCTGTCAAAGGCCACCGATCGACACACCTCCTTGATGTCGTTCGACGCGGACCAATCAGATGAGAGATCAGACCCAGCGCTGCTTTGAATGAACGTGCATTGTTTACATTATCGATTTGTGTAGATTTAAATACCAAAGTCAAACAGCAAAGCTGACGACGACATATATTGCTACACATCGTCATCGACGTTTACGAGTATCCACAATTATAGTCTCTGGTAAGTTTATAAAGTTTTGAACTAATAATATTCAGGTAAATAATTTGAGATTGTTATTTTGTATGAACTAACGTAGATCTAGGTCTACGTAGCATAGGGATAGGCTAGCGCTAGCCTCGATTAGATCACGTACTTTAGCCTTTTTTAGGGATACATTCCCCGCCGCTTGCGGGGAGGAAAACGATAGTGTCCGCTGGATATAAGTGTAGGTTGTGGATGAGAGCAGTTGCAGCGCGGCGGCGTCACCTTTTTTACTTCTCATACTCTTTTCACTCTTGTTTTGCTTAACCCCGTATAGATCTAGGCCTACTTGCTTGACCCCGTACTATCCTTAACCCCGGACTAATTTTTTTGGCTTTTCACACACGCTTTTTTTAGTCCTGACACTATCAACTCCTGACTCTGTAGACCTAGGGCCCGTTCCTACAAACCGTCATAAGTCTAACTTCTTGACTAAATCAGCGTTAGTGAACAATTTGTCCGCTACGTGTTTCACCAAGCCCTCTTTGCCAAGATCAACGACAACATCCTGACTAAGGAGTTATGACACCTCTGACACCGTCGTATCTCTGTCATAACTATTTAGTCGATGGGCAGCGCCATCACATGTCATTTATTGGGTAGACTATGGCTGGCAAAAAAGGACAATAAATCCTCCAACTATGATTTTTCTACACATTCACTTAAACAGTGAATTATCGTTTTTTGTATTTGATAATCTCATGAAAATATGCCATGTTTGTATTTAAGGATTTTTCCACTTAAATAAACTGATTATACGCCTTTATTTCCACATTGTAAACTCGTCGAAGGGATATGTATTTTGCCACGGCAGGCAAGCCATAGTTTGAAGTGTATTCTTTAGTTTTCAGACCCATATTAATTTCGAGATGAATTCTATTTTCAATTATGTAAAGTGAATGGTTTAAACATATGTTTTAATCTTTGAAATATTGAAGTTTTATACTTTTTATATTGTGCTGACGCCAAAAACATTGAACACAAATTTCATTACATCGTATTTTTTCAAAGAATAATATAAGGGTGTATTTTTATAAACTATCAAATGAAAATATTCGGGGGGTGCCCATCTCAACAACAAAACTGATTCACTGGTCATGTAATGAAAAACTCACAATTATATTTTACAAGTACTTCAATTGTTTAATCTACACAAATTTGGAAATATATTGGATCTCTTATTTCTTGGTATCATTTTCAATCTTTTTTATTACTAATTCATTTAAATAATTGCATTTTCCCTAATATTAATTTTGTAATAATCTGGTGGTATTGCGACTAAGGCTAATTCTCGGCTCCTCTTCTCGCCGATAATATCGATCTCACGAGATACTAGCTAGTAAGCTCTTCGTGAAACGGTTTAGGAAGATCAGAGACATCTCCGTAGTTGGCGGATAAAGTTATGACTGTCTTGTCGTTGGTTTCTAGGAACGAGCCCCTAGTAACTAAGCGCCCACACACATGCATTGGCTCCATTGCATAGTCTAGTACCGAAATTTCGGTTCTGTTCTCATTCATTTGCTTGCATGGCACCGCAATTGCAGGGCCAGCTAACCCCGCACTAAAGGTGGGGCTCAGATCCCCCTTTAACCCCACCTAGGCTATAAGGCCTAGTCCGGAGTTAAGCAAATTTGTTCCAGTGTGAAAACAGTTTCAGAGTCTCACTCAGTCTCAGTTACTCCTCTATCGTTAACATTGGGCCATGTTGACAGTGGAGGGATGTGGGGGGGGGGGGGGGGGGTGTATGCCACTTATGGTCTAGCCATATTAAGGCCAGTAAAAAGAGAGAATTGACTTGAGTCTATATAAATTTGGTATTAGGAGCTGCTGAATTCCTATTTCAAAGTTCAAGGTGGATATTCTGAGGAAAGTCTCACAAGGCAAAATACGTTTAGATTTAGACTTCTAGACAAGAAAAGTCTATATAGGGGGGAAAAAAATCCTCTAGCGACTTGGCCCAATTCCCCAAATCAAGCAGACAGATTTGTTTGTAATATCAAGACTCTACATATATATGTACCACAATAAAGTAAATACATGTAGATCTAATAGGATTTTCACATAGATCTAGAATCTTGTATGTACAATCAAATGTGTGTGCATGTACCGTAAGTGAAATATGCATCTCTGTTTATAGCGAACAGGGGGCAGCATCATACAAATGACTGGTAGTGCAGCCTCTCTGAATGCAGATGAGTTGGTGATTATGTTCAGTCAACAGGTCCCGATAGATGGTTCCATGCAACTTCCAAGTTCTAACAGTAAAGTAACAGTGCATGAGTGCATGACAAAGATATGATCACCTTCTTTGGAGATTGCATATTTGAGGTTGTGATCATCCTGTCCAATGACTCTAATGTGGGTAGCTGGGGGTAATGGGAGGTGCATGGGCCATGGAAGTGGTAAACCACCTTGATAGTGGAAAATTTTGTGAAAGAGAGTGCACTGAGGTGACTGAGCTGAACAAGAGATGCCTTGTGTGAAGATTATCCCAAACAAGAGCAGAGAACAGGGCTGACGAAGATGTAATATTGCACAAGGCCGGCCCCCCAAAAAAATGTTTTATTGCCCTTTGCGACTGACCCAAAAATCTTGAAATTTACGATCGACTTAAAAAAATAATTAAAAAATTACAGTTTTTTAGAGAAAAAAAAAATATTAAAGCATTCAAAACTGAAAAATATCAGCCCAAAGGAGGGAGAAATCAAGAAGAAATTTCTGACCGACCGACTAATGTTTGGTACCTAAAGGGCAACACAACATCCTTTTTTTTTGAGGACTAACATTGCAAAAAAATGTTCTAAAAAGAGTGGTGGAAAGTTCATACCAATTTTGAATTCCCTTAAATGACTGTACAATTAACCCATGCTTTTATTTGATTTCTTTCAACAGAAATTGAGTTTCTAAATTGACATGGCATCTAGAGCAAGAGGACTAAATGAAGATGGAGGGTTTGTGAAGTGGGATTGGAACAAGAACAAGTATATCTGGGTCTCTAAAGATGAAATCAATAAGGTTTGTTGTTCATGTTCTCATAATGAATCATATTTTGTCACTTGTATGACACATGATCCTGTGTCTGTTTCCTAGTTGTTGTTTTTTCATTGATTCAAATTATAAAACTTTTGTATTTTATATCAGATTTTGCTGAAGGTTTCACTCATCTAGACTTCATTGTTCTGCTTTTATTATAATCAACTATCAGGGTGGACCTCCCCTTTAAACAATCTTGGGGGTAGATCACTCTAGGTTCATCTGCATTACATTGATATATACGCTACTCACAATATAACCAGGTCATCGTAATAAAAGCATTACTAGAATACATTACTAGAAAGAAAGATTATTTTGAATTTGTTTAAACATGCACATATATTTGATTTGTTTGTTTGTCTGAAGATTATTAATAAATAGCATGTGAAGAGCTCAAACATTGAAGAAAACAAAAATTACTAGAATATTGCTGTGATATATGATTTGTGATAATTATTTTTCAGTTTATTATCCTTCACAATACAGAATTTAATGTTGACTATAAAGAAAGAATTTGTTTTTCTAATTTTGTTATGACCATCTCCAACACTAATTAGAAATTTCAGTTGTTCAAACCTTTGAAAAGTGTATGAGCATGTGCTACGTACATATATTTTTTCACTTACACCCAGAATAACCTCTTCTTTTTTTCTTTTCTTTTCTCCCCAGCCATCCAAGCCAGGTCATTCAAAGTATGCATGGAAAGATGGCAACAAAGTGTAAGTTCTAAACTTCTAGGCTTATATTATAATATATACTACATGTAATTAAGTTAAATCTGACCCTGGGTCTAAAATAATGTTTAACTAAAGGAAAAATAGACCTCAGACTCCTAAACTAACCTGATTTTGGACAAATTCATAAAACCATGCATAGGGTTTACAATTATAGGAGAACATACCGGTAGGCCGTAATGTTGAAAGTGTGTAGGACATGATTACTTCCAGTTACAAAGATTGGAAGGATGCCAACATGAGAACTTCCTGTATCCATCCCTTGAGTACACAAACAATAATATTTTGATATTATAACCACATGCAATGTAAGTTTATGTCTTGTATACATTATGGTATAAATTAGTGCTATTGATATTGATGTTTTCCTCATTTTTTATATTTCTTGTACATGTAGGTGCTTATAGTACATTTTCAAAATGCTCAACTAAGAGACTAACATCACAAAGTCTAAGGAAATAAAGGAAAGAATTGTGATTGACTTTGACCTATTTTTTATATTCAATATTTCAGTAATAAAAGCATGGCACTTACATGTAGCACACTGTATGAAGTATAGGCCATACCGGTACTTCAGGCCTACATGAAATGCCACTCCTTGCCATTCTTTTTAGCTCTCTCTTCTCTTAATCCATGGTATCTACAAAATCACTAATGATGCTCTTGAAATGCCCAGGTCCACCCATGAATATGTCTGCAGTATGAATGTGGTAGTATTAGAGGAAGTTAAAGGTGATGATCTCTGTTGATTTACAGTGCAGCCAGACGACCTTCATTCAAAGTTCCTGTGAAGAAGGCTTGCAGACAACCTTTGCAGGTAGCCAACAAACATGGCAAGGTAAGACTAATTGGACTACAACCTTCAAGGTAAACTTGATCATCAGCACGTAGAATGTCTGGCACTACTTTATTTCCTTTTAAAGAGGTTATTGCCTCAAAACATGTTTAATCGTGTTCATCGAAATTCTTAGTATTCACAGCTTGAGTCTATCAGTAAGATGAAAATAACTTTTAGAATGTGTCTACAGACAATCTGTACTCTACAAGTATGCTGTCATACTCTAATTGCATACTATGAAATAAGCGGCCATAACTTTGAAGATTGAAATCTTGTCCGATGTTCAGATTGACTGTTTAAAAGATTAATCTACATTACTGACTAATTATGTAATATTGAATGGCATTGACTGGAGTACAAGGGTGTATCCCATGAGCTGATGAGCAAGAGTCAGCACAACAAGTGAATTAAATTATTGTGATGTAGTATGGGGTGGATGTGGAAGTACACAGAAAAACAAATTACAAAAAATCCAGAATAGAGCAGCTCGAATAATTAATAGGTCCTCTTGGTATTCCTCATCAGATGAAAATTTAACAAGACTAAATTGGAATACACTTGACAATAATAGAACAAAGAATGTAGCAATTATGATGTATAAGATTGTCTCAAAACAAGCTCCTGAGTATTTAGTAGAAAGGTTTATATTTGCAGACCATACATACAATACACGTTCAAGTCTGTATAATGTGAAAACAATAAGACCAAAGACTGAGACTATGAAAAGATCTTTTAAATATAGAGGGGCCTTAACATGGAATAACTTGCCACATGAAGTACAAGGTGCTAAATCGTTAAATATTTTTAAGGCAAAGCTGACGTAATACGAAATAAGTGTGTGGGGAGGGGCTAACTTATTAGTTTAAGAGAGCTTTGTTGTTGTTTGTTTTTAAGGTTTTATAGTTGTATACAATTTTTATCTCATAATTTCAACCTATTTATCATTGTTATTTATGTTATATTACTCCTTAGGCTAGGAATATTGTGTTTTGAGGTCAAACAAATTGCAATAAAATATTTTTCACTGCAATGCATTTTAGTAAGGTCCCCAAAATGACATACTAAAAGTCCAAAAAAATCCAAGTAGTGGAAGTGTCCCTAATTTGCATAAATCCAATATGGCCGCTATCTCGAGGATTTTCACATAGGTTCTGTCATATTTGTCAGCTTGTATAGGCTGTTGTGGCACTAATGGAGTAGGAAAAGTGATCTGCTGTACATTTTGTATCAAATAAAATACCCATATACTACAGGTACATCACACACCTGAAACAAATCCCTCGCACACCCACACCCACACAATCCAACATGTAATTTATGCTCAATTTATTACCTTAGTAGATGATTTTATTTCATTATGCAATAGACAAATATCATGTCTTTTTATATTGAAAAAATTCAAACAAACATATTCAGAAAAAATGGCCCTTATATCCGTACACACACACAAGAGCTGTTATAGGGTTATGTAGGGGTACAGCGCCTGTACCTTACTCCGTGTAGTGGACTACTTGTGTAAACATTTCCATAAATCCAAAATGGCCGCCAATTCTAGGGTTTTCTCCTAGATTTGGTCAAAATATTCACCATACATACCTTTTAGCACACTTTTAGTTTACTTTGAAAGTCTAAAATGTTATTTCCACAAAATCTTTTGTTTGCATAAGGTTTTATATGCCCAGTTGAATGTTTTAATTTGCTTGAATTCAAAATGGCTGCTAAATTAAGCATTTTTGTAAAGAATATATATATAATTATATTTTTTGTCCAATGTTAGACTAATTCAGACTAATTGCGACAACACTATGTTGTACAAATGTTTCATAATTAGGTTTTTTAATTTGCATATACATGTACACATACATTTTTTTTAAAGCGGGTTAATTTGCATAAATTTTGTGTTGATTCTCACCTTACAATGCATTTCAGAGCAGCTATGTCTATGTTGATTTACAAACCCAGTGCAGTTGTTATTACAGGATGCAGGTCATGAGGCCTACAGTTAAGTATACATATTCTAATTTGATTAGAGTTGGTAGTCTCCAACAAACAAATATTTATGTGGCATGCTGATCATAGTATCATCAAGTTCTAGGTAGGCCTATAGTGGTGGTAAGTTGCTACAACTAGTGCCACGACAATCAGTGCAGGCTGTTGAACATTGGAGGCCATACTTTCGGCACGTGCATTTCTTGGCTTCACAATCTGTCTTGCATCCACATCTGATGACCTTAAGGTGTTCTGCGGATGCTGGTGTTTTATCAGTTTTTATGGGAATATACTTCCCATCCATGACCTGCCAACTCAGTTTCCCGATGTCAGGCTGTCTGACATTCCTTTCCATTCTAATCTCTGATAGTACACACGCAGACTGTGGAGCTTTTCTGCTGCTGAAGTTGGTTGCAAAATCTTTGCTTCTAAGGCAGACAAGATTGGTGATATATACCTTTACGCAATCTTCTATTGAGTCACCACCATACAGGCATACCAGTGCCTTCTCTCCAGCTGGAATAATGGCCTCCTTCATGTATGATGCTGGCTGACTAGATACCATGGCAAGCTCGGAGAAGTCGTCATTCTTCATGATTTTCTTCAGTGCTACGCCTTTCCCTAGTCCAAATATGCGAGACGTTGTGTCGCAGTCCAGCTAGAAGCACATGGCAAAGAGAAAGTAGTCACACACACTATACTTCCTAGAGTTTCCTTCAGCTGTTTGATATTCCATGTTCGGTTCTTCTTGGAGTTGCCTTAATTGGGCTCAGGTCCAAAAAAAGAAGTCCTTTGCATTCAGATCAGCGTAGAAGATCAGCAAGATGAGAAGGATTCTGTCATCACCGATGCTCTTGCTTCAAACTTCTGCTGCATCACAATTAATTCCAGGAATCTGCTTTTCCTCAATTGCTCCATCGCAATGAAGATCAGGAAGATGCTGTCCGTTAGTAGTTGTTCGAGAGAGAACTTAAGTGGGCTGCTCCCCGAAATTAGCTACTCCACATGGAACACCTGGGTGTTGAACAACCTCTGGAAATTCCTATAGTGATCACTATAGAAGCTTCCGGAGGTTGTTTGTACTTGTTGCAGATGTACATTATACAAGTCTGGTATCAGCATGGTATTTAGAGCAGCATCAACGAGTAAATGGCCCCGCACATGCAGCTCTAGAAATCGCCTTTCCACCCAGCATATATGGCGTACACTACTTCAAGACGTTCATGGGGTCCTGAGGCCGTTACCAAATGCCCTGCAGAACGATCTGCTTCAAGTCACTGTCAATTGGCTGGCTCCTGATTATTGTGAGTGCCTTCCACCATAGCAGCTTATCAAACGTCAAAACAGGTGTATATAGTATTATACCGTTTAGCATGGGTACAAGCAAAACACAGAGTGTAGTAAACACAATGCAGGATGGATCACTAGGATTCATGTCAATCATGGGGAGAAACAAAGAAGATGACTGATCAGGGTACTCACCGTGGTTTTTATTATCTGTATCGTTCCGGACCTTTGAAGGCCTTGGGGACCGAAGTAGTAAAGATGTCTTCAACAACACATCAAGATTAAATGTTGTATCTTCTGGTCCCCAATCACAATCGGCTGGTAAACCAGAGGTTGTACAGTTGTAGATGCCTTTTACTATTCAATGTTGATACGTCCAACAGTAGCAAAGTCCTCAGCGGATACCGTTTATCTAGGTACAGGCTTACAGTACTTTATTCCTGGGGTTTGGGTAGCAATGTGCCCATCTGTGGAAAGTACCTGATCCATCAGGAGTGTCGATATTATTTGCAATATACTGAATGCACTCTTGAGAAATTGCCGCACTTCTTTCATATTTCTTAACCACTGGAATTCATACAGAATAGCACTAGCTGTGCTACGAAATGTTACTACATCATACTTTCCATTCAGTTCAGTTATACAATCCTCTCACCGAAGTGCCCCTGTATTTTCTTTTTCATGTATACCCCACTGTCGGCATCATGATCTGTATCCAGCCAATACTCTTGCATCCTAGATTTCTTGTTGTCGCGGTCAGCGTTGCCTGTGAGTTCCAAGATTTCGGCAGTGAGGTACTCTAGGACGGCAGCCATGTAGACAGGAGCACAAAATCAACTACTGTTGTTTGTTCCTCATCATTTTCCTCAAGGGACTTAACTACTTTAAAGAATGCAGTCAATTTCACCTCATGTTAAGGTCGGCCAGTTTTAGCTTTTTTGGAAGTGCTTGTGCTCACAGAGTACTATTGGTATTTGTTTTTTAGTTTTAAAGTTCACCATGCATAGTTTATGGTATACTGCATCAACTGCGGGAAGATCATTGACCGATGCAAGTCTTCCAGACACATTTTGCGACGAAGTATCATTTCTTTTTATGCATATCTCTACTACAACTACAGTAATAGTACAACCAGTACCACATCAACAACTAAAGCTCCCTTCCTATTGATGTAGCTAGGCTCATGTGTAGGCTTGCCTTTTGGAGCACATGGTGTACATTCTGTGGCGTCATGAATTACAGGCTTAATTTGACCTCCGAATGACCTCAGATGAAAAAAAAAGGGGGGGGGGGATTTGACAAACTTTGATTAGTTATTGTGCCTTAGTGGATTCTGATATCTTAATTTAAAAAAATGTATTGTATTCTGCACATTATAAGCTTTCCATCGGTATTATAATGAAACTATTATTGGGTGTTCTACTTTAGAGTTTTGCAATATCTGAATTAGGTATCATGGATATCACATAATAAAAGCTTACGGGTCTAACTTAGTTGAATATTTGACAAAAATAATGACTATATAGAGAGCACAAAGAGAGCACAAATACCGCAGTAATATGGATACTTGTACTGTGATGAGCCATTAGCATGCAATGTATGCTTCTGTTTGTCACCTCTCTAAAATTAAATAAACTGTTGCACTGAGAACAACTTCTAATTCCAATGACCATGAGGATAATGTAAGGTACAGGTTGAACCCCCTAATAGCCCTACCAACAGCTCTTGTGTTTGTATGGATACTCAAAAGGGCCAGTTTTTCTGAATATTTTTATTTTGAGTTTTTTCAATATAATTAAAATGACATATTTGTCTAGTGCATAATGAAATAACATCATCTGCTGAGGTGATAAATTGAGCATAAATTACATATTGGATTGTGTGGGTGGGGGTGTGTGGGGGATTTGTTTCAGGTGTGTGATGTACCTGTAGTATATGGGTATTTTAGTTGAAACAACATTTACAGCAGATCACTTTTCCTACTCCTTTAGTGCCACAACAGCCTATACAATCTGACAAATATGATAAAATCTATGTGAAAATCCTCGAAATAGCGGCCATATTGGATTTATGCAAATTAGGGACACTTCCACTACTTGGATTTTTTTGGACTTTTAGTATGTTATTTTAGGGACCTTACTAAAATGCATTGCAGTGAAAAATATTTTATTGCAATTTGTTTGACGTTTACCTAAAAAATGACACAATATTCCTAGTCTACCTACGCAATATGTTTTAAATGTCTATTCGTGTGCAATATGATCTTTGCAATACGTTATCAGTTTTTGTCTCTTTAAAAACAAAAACAATTATATATGTAGTATTTAACTGATCCATATTCATAATGCTCTTAAGTATTTATTATTATTCCATACTTCATTTTACTTCTACATTCTACATTATGTGTGTTTTCTTTTGTTTATTGTTTTAAAGTTTGATTATTTAATATTTAACATGAATACATAATATGTTTTTAACTTATTTTTATAATCTTGTTAAACTTCTTTTTGTTTTTACTTTATATATATAAATATGCAAACAGATTATGATGATCATATATGTAACTTATTTAATTGTTTATCTTTTGGGTCTACCAATATAGTTCTAATTAAGTAAAGTGTTTTTAGCTTATTTCCTATTATTGTCGTGTTATGGTTGTGAATCTGTCAGTGTTATATTACTTTTGTTTATATGTCATGATTATGTTGTTTTTTATCGACACGGCCCTGATTGAAACCAGTCTGCGAACTGTTTCGGGCGTTTACCGTGTATAAATAAAATAAACTCAACTCAAACTCAAGTATTCTCAAAACAAGTGAGATATACCCTTACAAAAGAAAGCCACTCAATAATAATATTATTAGTTGTATGAAACATACAGTTAACAACTAAATTATTAATACCCCTTTAAAAAATAATATATACAAAATTCTCAAGATAGACAAATCAGGACAAATCAATTGCCTTAGCCTATGTGTATTTCATTGTGTTAATTGGCCTTTTCGGACATTAACACACTCCAATCCATGAGATATTATGAATATGCTACACAGTCATCCTGGTACTTTTGCAGAAAGCATAATGATACAATATGTCTATTTCTCTGGATTGCTAAAAAAATCCTTCATTTAAACAATAATCTTTAAATTTTTAAGAAGGCTTACAGTTCAATATCAGACGTGAATGCTTATTTTGATATTTTTATAATGACTTTATAGTGCAAGACATGTAGTGTAAATATACAGAGAAATAAGAGTATAATCCCATTATAATTGCAAATTAAATGAAAGTACCGGTAAGATATTAGTTGACAATGCCAGTATTCAGTCATTCTCATTATGACATTATTTTGTAATGATAATCATGATTGTTCATTAAAAACAAATTTAAATACTTTCTGAATATATTTTGTCTGCCATCAGATGAAGACACCATCACCCAAGAAGCCTTCAAGAAGACCTGTCCATCATAAGGCTGACTTCATAGTCCCTGGCTACGATCATGGCTACGATGATGGTTACGATGAGGTGGATGAAAAGGAGAACTATCCTCGTAATGAGAAATACAATGCTAGAGAAGGAAAGATTCCACCACCTCCAGAAGTGAGTCGCAAACCTTGCAGATTTTGTTTAAAGGAAAAATTCATATTACTGTTTGAAATAGCCACAGTTCGTTTTTGTACATAGACTTACTTCAAATTGGAATATCCCTTTGATTGTTCGTAAAGAAACAATTTGGTTTTAATAGAACGTACTACCATCACTATCTCTTTGTCTCAGGGGGTAAAAAGGATATGAGAGAAATAGACATTTATCAAATGAAATCTTCCTCTCTCTTTCCCCCCTCCCCCCCCCCCCCCCCCCCCCCCTCAAAAAAAAAAAAAAAGTTGAGAGTAGCTTTCATATTACATCAGTGTTGCTGGATGAAGTTGCTAATTAGTGTTTTGTCCCCACAATTTTAATATCAATGAGTGAGTTTTGTATGCATGTCAGACCTTTTTGAAATTTGCACAGATATGATTGTCCTACATTTGTATTTTGATGACTTTGTGAAAATAAACTTGATAGATTCCTTTAATTACATACTGTTTCATAATTTGTTCATTGAAACATTTTAGGTGTTGCCATTGTAAAAAGTGGGATTTCTCAAGGTGATTGAGTTATGTATTTATTTGTATTTACTAGAGTTCTTTTTCTGTTTTTCCATTGCAAAATGGGTTTCTGCTCCTACTATTTTTCTTCACTGATGAAAATGAAGCTCATAGTATTGAAGCTGTTGTTACGTAGTCCATCCTGTATTTTCTATATTTCTCTGCTATACGATTAGAGTCACACAGTGAAATAATTTGTATACCTACCTCTTCATTTTTTCAGTTGCACTCTGGTCACACCACCATCCTATCCGTCATGTCCAATCGATTGATTCATGTCAATGCTGCATTAACCTTTTGGCGTCAAGGACCGAATGAATATATCTCCTATGTGATAAGGACTGAAGATGATGCTGCTACAGTAGATACTCTACCTGCACTAGTCAATTGGTAAGGATGTTTGATTCTCTCACTATTCAGGAGGGCAAGCCCAAGGTATTTTAATATTTGTGCCTCCTTTCATTTGTTCCATTAACAAATATAATTGTATTTTCAGTGAATAAAGGATAACAGATTTGTTTGTAGTTTTCAGGTATAATGTAAAAATGGATTGTTAAATGAAATAGCATTTCAATGGAAACAGTTAATGTTTCATTGGACTAGTACACTGTCAATAAAATTATAAAAGTGTGTCAGAATTATTGTCCACTGCAAATCATGAACACAGATAATCATTAATCAAATATTTTTCACAGACAACTGATTAAGTTTATTGCAATGACTTTCATATTTGTATGTGTATTTTGTCCTTTCTCTTTGTATAGTTTCAAGAACAAGACACCAGTCAGTAAACAGCTATCTCTAGGAGCTTGTTTTGAATTACTGCCTACTCTCAAGAAACTTCTAAGCAGCAAGTTTGAAGAGTAAGTTATCTCAAGGGTCTAAGAGATGGTTTAGTGCTACGTGCCATGTAGACATGTGTAGCTTACTTGTACATCAGTGATATTTCCTGTCATGATGGGCAAACAGGATGGATATTGCATACTGAAATATTTCTAAAACTTGGTTTAATAAGTTACTGCAATTTCATGCAATACTGAACATGTGCTAAAGGATTGCTAAAAAGACATACTTGAAAGTTGAAACAACAGAAAGTCTTTTTAATGCTCTACATGCATTTGCTAATGAATTTTCTTCTTTTGTTAATGTACTTCATTTTCTTGTATTCATTATTATTCTCATACTTCTTTGTGATCTTGAAAATGAAAACAATATATATATACAAAATAAAAGGAATAGGGCATAGTTTTGCCTGTTTAAAGCACATGATAAGATGATTTACAAGAATTTAAACTTAAAGTAAATATGTATCTTGAAGCAGCTTGGCATTGTCATACTGATCAAACAAAGACTATACATCGATGTGTAGGAACCTAGTACATGTATCAGCATCATTACCAAAGGGGTAAATTTATCTCTTTATTTTGTTCTCTACTGCAGCTATGTTAAGACCAGTCTGGATACGCTTCGTACAATGCTCAGATTCTGGTGGAATGATTTGATAGCTCACAGAAATCAAAGTTTCTCTGGTGATCTACAACAAAGCAGGTATGATACACAGATATAATAGGCTTCAATTTGAGTTTAAATCTGTTCAGTACATGGACATTAATTTTGTAATCCTACATGACTAGTGGACCTTGATCTCAATCATAGTTAATTAGTTTCATGAGAAATGTTACCAAGAGATGAAGATAGAAACCTACATGTAGATACATGGTCTCTCTGAGGCTGGAAAGCTAATGTATTCTAGCATAATCTTTGCTGGTATACGTGCCCCCCCCCCCCCCACAACCCTCTTCCTCCAACTACAAGAATTTATAACAGGCTGTTTTGGAAACGGACTAAAGACATTTACATGATATATGGTACATAGTACTCCTCATTCATTGTTACGTGTAATATGCAGTTCTAATAATTTACTGTATTCCCCCAAGGATGTATCTGGACACAATGTTGTGATTTCAAAGTCAGTTATTCAAGATACTGATAATGCATTCAATTTAGAGAAAATGCATGTATAATTGTAATGTCACTTAATAATTCATCTAGCTACTTGTATTTTATTGCTCAAGGTTTTACAGTGTTTAACAATATGTAATGTCATATTTCACCTTATATGATTGTAGGAGTGTTGCTGGTATCTACATGAGTGCTATAGCTATGACTGATATCATTACCAAACTATGCAAGAGGAAAGATGGTATAGCAAAGAAAGCAGAGGTAAATTAGTTGTCTTTTAATCTCAGCAACACGGTCAATTATAGGTAGCCTACATCTATACTTTTGCAGAAAGAGATAAAGAGAGGGTTTGGCACCAGTTAATAGAAAATAGCTTCGACTATGAGGGCTAGGGGATAAATTTGGGAGGAAAATATACACAATTGATATTGTTGATGAATGATTTTGGTTGAGATTCAAACGCTCACCCTATGGGTTGTTAGTCAGGACAGCAAATTAGTATTCCTATTTCATGGATTGATTTATTATAAACAGAGAAACACTTCTTGCAGAATTGTGAGAAATTTACATAGAATTCCGATCAATCTCAATTTAGTTTTATTTCAAAGCATGAAACATTTTTTTGAAATTATTGTTAATCAAGTGTGTGGCAAGTATAAAATAGGATACCTTCTCCAACCAATATTCTTATGAATACTCTATACAGAATCAGAAAGTTTTGTTTGATGAGTTTTGATGTTATTCAATACTTCTAAACAGCATATATTTGGGTTGAACTTCATACAAAATTATTTCTGTACTTTTATTGCTTCCATGCCCTGTAATATTTCTGAAAGTATCGTCTTTTCACTCATTCTATTCCCTTACACCTTATTAATATATGTATTGCCACACACTGTATGTACATTGTATTGATACTTTGTCTCTCCAATCTCCATTTCTCCCTCTTTCTCTTTTTTTCTCTCTCTCTCATCTTCACTTGCTTTCAATATTTATTTCTATCACTGTACTTATACACTCTGTTTTTCTCTCCCCACAGATTGTTGGAACGCTCTTAGCCCAGCTCTAGATGCCATTTACTTCATTTACATGAGTGCTGTGGAATTAATGTATTTAGTTTATATGATTTAGGGTTTGATTCCATTTGTAATTTTTATATTTTGCTAATTGTTTTGGAAGTCGAAGCATGCATTTGCAAACATGTATCTGTTTCACCAAATTTTTGATAGAACCATGAATGTTTTTTTTTTAAGGCAATGACAATCACATTTCTATTGCTTTTGTGGTATTCTTAGTTGCTCACAAATGGGGATGGAACTAAACAATTTTTATTTTGAGGAATCTGACAGCCTCTTTCATGGCTCAGGGGGGGGGGGGGGGGTCCTTGAAATTTTTATTTTTGTTTCTAGCGATGTCTGTTAATGGTATGTATTATAGATTGTACATGTACCTTCATAAACAAATACTTTTTCATGTTTTAATTGAGAATTTTATTGATTTTTGTTAGTGAATACTCAAATTTGATAAAGCTATTTATTACTGCCTCATCTTTAATGTATGTACTGTATATGCTTAGCTCGGAATACAGTTGAATAGCAATTTTTTACTTTTCTTTGAAGACGTTCTTTCTAAAATTGAGGATGTTATTTAAATCAATAATCTTATATCACGAGTGCTAATCTGTATACATGTAGCTGCATTGTTAAAAAAAGTCCGTCCATTTTACCACAAAAGTACTTATAAAAGCAGTTGAAAGTGCCTCCGTCCATTTGAGAGTTTGTAACAGTGCCTGTATATAAAAGTACATTATATAAACATATGAAGTTGTTTTTTAAAGTTATAGTATGAATTTTATTCAGTGAATGATGGATTTTTGATAGTAACAATATCATGAAACTAATGAAATTGTTTATTATAAAGATCAACTGTGCTAGTGGTACTTTTAGATTGTATTGAAACTATTCCCGAAAATAGAATTGATGTGGCCTACGTAGTCTCAGCTTCATTATAAATGTATATGTACTGCCAAATCAAACATGATTATATGCTAATGGTAAAACAATCTGGGATCATATATGTATCCTACCAGATGGTTCGAATCTTTATATTCATCCTTGATACATGACAGTATTAACTATTGACTTACATGTAATGTTTTAGATGGCATTTAGCCTTTGATAGGGCTTGCATAAGAGAGAAATGACGGACATATGCCTCAAGTAAGCATCAGTGGCGGATCCAGGGGGGGGGGGCCCAGGCCCCCCCCCCCCCCCCCCCCTCTTGAGAAAAAAAAATCATGTAAAATCACGTGATTTTTACCTTTTTTGGGGTTGCGCCCCCCCCCCCCCCCTGGGGGGGGGGTGCAAATTGAAATTTTTTTGAGGATCAAAAAAAAAAAAATGTGCTCACTATCCCCTTCCCCCCCACTGAGCAAATTTTTGGCCGGCGCGTTTTTCAAATTTTCGGGAGCAAAAAAAAAAAAAAAAAAAAAGTGTGCTCTGTACCCCCCCCCCCCCCCCCCCCCCCCACTGAGCGACTTTTCGGCTGGCGCGATTTTCAAATTTTCGGGAGCAAAAAAAAAAAAAAGTTGGGCCCCCTCCCCTAAGAAATCCTGGATCCGCGCCTGGTAAGCATCGTCTGTCTTCAGCCTTTCGTAGTTGCTGGACTCTCGCATCCATGTACTTCCCTTTTTTGATTGGCGGCAAGTCACATGATCACCCTGAGGGGTCGAGGCCATCCATATAAAACATGAGTCCTGCAGCTGGAAAGGCCCTACAGTCAACAAAGCTCACATGTATGCCTAGTCTCTGCCCGTCAGTCATTTGCTCCTTTATCGTTTGTTTGGATCCAGAAGAACGTTGACTCATGTACCTTAACACAGAGTTAATGCCGTTTTGGCTCCTGACGATATACATGTATACGAGACCTTGTCAGCATGGTAGTTTAGCTTAGCAGTATGTAGTGAAACCCTTTAGCACAGTGTAGTTTTTTTATTTTATTGATGAGGTCTTATTGAAAGTATATATGTTTAAATATGTACTTATATTACAATGTACATTCCATTGTAGATTTATATTGTGTGCTGATGTATATTAGAATGGAGAAACAAAGATAATTCATGTACATTCATACAAGTATAATGTCTTGTGTGTTTTATTTCAGTTGCCTGTACATATTTTCTTCTCATACATATCATTTCATTCATATTATGTACACTGACTTTATATTACAACCAGAAATAACATGTTAACAAATATTTTACAGCAAGATTTACTCATTCTTCCAGATGCATTAATGTATTCCGTTCCCTTGAACACATACCTAAGCATACTGACTGCAAGAATGAAGGCTATACATGTACAATCATTTTACACACTAAAATGATTAAAAGATTAAAAGAGAGAGGTGTTGTGTCAGTAATCAAAAGCTTTATCTTTGAAGAATTTTAAACTTGTAACATATCCATACAACATCTACAGCTGAACTCTACATGCATACAGTCAAAAGTGAAAAGTAATTAATTTGACAGATCTGTCGGCATAACATAGACTTAACTCGCTTCTCACTACATATTAATAACATATTTCTTACATAATTCTGGTATAACTCTTTGTTTATTGTATCATAAATATTGAACGTCGCTGTAACTTATTTCCTTTCTGTGGCCTTTCCCCATCTCTCACTTGAGATGAAATAACTCAGTATTTTTCGCCCCTATCTCTTTCTAGATCCCTTTCTATGAAGTATGTATGATATGAAATGCACCCAGCTTGAGCATCACTTTTAAATGATGCATTATAAATGGGTTTCTTTTCTTAAAGAGAAAAAATAAATTCCATAGTATGCTCATTTCTTTATTGTCACTAAAAAAACAATGTGGCCAAACACCAAGTAAAGCCATAACACATGTATTTTACACATTCAGATAACAGAGTAAGATACATGGAGTTCATTAAAAACATATTTTCTTTAAAGGTACATACATGAACACTGTATTAGTTAATTATAATTAGGGCTCTGACAAAATCAGTGTCTGAAACCGAAACACTACAAAAATAACTTTAAAATAAATTATAGGGGACTACATCATGTTTTACTACCAAGTGCCTCTATGAAACTTATTCATTAATAGATATATATTTGAATAAACTTCATGACATCTTGGCACAATTGAAGCACTGTTTAAAACATGTAGTACATTTTTAATCAACATCAAGAATGCAATTCAACGTTATGATTTCATTTCTTGATATGAATGAAGTTTCACTCTACAACACATAAATAAACAGACATAGAAGTTCCAGCACACATACAATTCTTGTAAAGTGAAATAGCACATATTTTTTAATCATAAATATAAATGATTGTAATCTGGTACACGATACACCCTGTATGCAGCAATAGGAGTTTCTTACTTTCCAAAAAGAAAAACGCTCAGATATCTATGGTGGTAAACACATTTATAATTTGCATTCACTCGCTAGCCTAGTCAAATCTAAAGCCAACTATGAGTGCAATTCAATGTAAGATCATTCACTCTAGATAACAAACTTTATCATAAAGAAATGAATATCACATACATAACCTTGCTGAATACTAAGCCCAAGATAAGACAGACCTAGGTTGAGATAAAGTGCATGTTATCGCAAAATTAAATCACATTTAAAAGATACAAGTGTAATCCTCACTTCTCCATGTGTTCATACAATCCATTCCTATACTGAGGCAATGGCAATGGTACAATCATGCCAATAAACCAGTACTTTCCAAACACATCAGTCCATTTTGAGTACATGCTTGCCTCAAGTTTTAGTTTAGCTTTCTTCCCATAGAGGGCCTCGTGTGTAGTTGATCCCATAATCACTAAGACTATCTCCCATACAAAGAAACCAGCAGCTACAAAACCACCAATCAGAAAGATGTATAGTAGCATTGTCAATGCTAGCTCCATGACATCAGTATAGCCAGCAAACCAGCCTGATACAGCCCTAGGGAGTAGCACAAGGTACGTCCAAGCACCAGGGAACTCTACATGATAGGCTAGACTCAGGTACAATGCTGTCTGGAACAAACAGTAGAAAGCAGTTACCATAGAGTACCAACAGAACCAGATGAAATATTTCTGATTGTGATACCCAATGCATTTTCCTAGCAAGTAGCAATGATGATCATGTTTTAGGATCACAGATCTACAGAGTGTACAATAATGGGCACGGAATGGAAGTGAAGTATTAGCCTCTCCTCTATACTTGATATCAGATCGTATCGATGTGTTTGTAAATGTAGCAAGTATAAAATTTGCCAAGGTCACTCCAAAGGCATAAGTGGTAAACATCAGATGCTTCCATTCAATAAACCCTAGTTTTTCCACCACTTCTGGGATAGTAAAAACGATGACAGTAGTGGCTGATACAAACATCATCAACAGAATGAATAAAACTCCAACATTTTTAAATTTCTGAGCAATTTTCAAACGAATAGAGCTTGTTTTTGACATTCTGTTGTGTGCTGGATTATGGAGATGTTTCCGACTGTTCGTCTTTCTTGTCTTTCGTTGCATGTTGCTTCAAGCCTTTTCTAGGCTCTAGACTAGCCTCTAAGTCTAATGCTCTATCTCGATCTCGCCTTTCTCGGTTTTCTTCTTGTAGTATTGTACAAAGTTGGAGATCTAACAGTTAGACCTATACTCTGTATGTAGCCAAGCCTTTGTTCCAGGAAAGATGCCTCTCTTTGCCGGACAATAATGCCAATAAATTTACTTTATTGGTGCTTCCAGTTTGTCCACACCACCAACAACATATTCTGTATTTACGCATCTAATCTACCAAAAAGAAGCACACACCAAATGACGTACGTGGGACTGAAATGTGTAATGATGACAATATGCTGGAGCAAGCCAATAGCCTCAATAAATGCACTTGTCCTTCCGAAGAGAGCTCAAAACATACTGTTGAATAGCTTTAGTGTCCACAACATGTAAAATCGTAAAATCACCATAAAATATGCAATGTGATTGAAAACAACGATTGTTATCATCCACTTCGGCTTCGTCCTTGGACCTTGGTTACCAGACGCTATTTACGAGAAAATCCGTAGTCTATAACAAACAGACACCGAAATTGTTAAAAGTCAATACTCTATACGGGTTAAAGTAGAGTTTGTTTTTAATGATACCCTCCATCGTAGAACTTCATATTTTCTATCATAAACAAGATACGAGTTATACGCCTACACATGATACCCTATTTCTGTTCCTAATTCAATATTTGTATTTCATGATTTCATCCATTGTCACCGTCATGGCTCATGGACATACATGTAAATGACGTCGCAATGAATGGTGGCATCATGTTACCAAACTAAAACAGTTAACTTAGATCAGGGAAACGTTACAGAAGTTTTCATACAAACAAATCCACAAATTACACAGACCCTTCCTAAATCAAATTCTATTTAACTCGGGGGGGGGGGGGGGAGGGGGGCGGGGGTCCATAACATTGAGAGTACCCTAGCTTCCTACCCCAAGTCACCACTCCGGCCTAAATGACCGTATATAGTGGCTACACACGGTTACCTCGTGGCATATCATAAAATATTGAAGTAGATATTTGGTAGGTAGGCCTAGACCTAAATCATAATGAAGATTACCAGTACATCCACGTGTAATGCTGTGAATCCGTACTGGAAAGTAGACTAGTTGCCTCGTTTAGACTGCATCGTTTCCTTATTGCTGTCCTGTAAATGATAATGACATTTAAACTTCATTACATCAAATCAAATCACTTTATTGGAACATCATCCACAGTTTGGGATCATCATTACAAAAAATTCCAAACAGGTTTTGTAAAGCCATACCGACTTTACAGCATTTTCATTATCAAGAAAATATATCGAGATAATTGATCTGCTTCATGACAAAGAATAATTTTTCAAATGATTTTATCTCTTCCTATAATAACAAGTTCTACTCTCTCTCTCTCTCTTCCTCTCTCTCTTTTCTCTTTGTTTTCTTTTACTTCTTTTTCAAGCTAACATCAAGTTGGATTAGTGTTAATGTGATACTTTTAATTCTATTATATGCTGAACAAGTAACTTTTCTTTCCTGTGATAACAAAATATGTGCTAAATTATGTTTGTTGATAAATAAAAAATATAAGAAACATCCATTACAAAAAAAATACTTACCTTTGAGAGAGTTTAAAAGAGCCGTGTATAAATGCTTTTGTCTGGCTGATAACTGATGTGATATAGCGCCCCCTGTAAAACGGAATAGTATTAACAATAATTGTGAAGCTCTCGTTTGATGCGGACATTTTTGAAGGATGGTGAGGTTGAGACAGCATTTCATATTGATGAAGATGTCTTTCTCTCATCACAGTCGTCATCCATTTTTGTTCTCCTTTGTTTCTTTCGTCTTCGTCTTTGTATAAATTTAGTAACATGCAAAATAATCACCGAATAATATGAACTTTGTAGTAAATATCTATGCACAAAATTACTTCACTGGATGCAATTAAATCCTTAATCTATCTACAAAAGCGGTTTTAGAAAAGTAATTTTAGCTTTGTTAAAGCCACACTGTCCTACTGGTAGCTACTTGCTCCCTCTATATAGAAACAATGCCTAATCGGTGACCATTGCTCCCCATGATCCTCTTTTTATAATGTTAATGGAGAGCTGAGTTGATGAGATAACCACCTGTCCAGTGACTTTGCAGTTTGGTCTAATCCCTCCTATAAACTAGTACAGATAAGCTTTAAAAGTTTTATTTTAATTTTTTTCCTACTCTCGTTCTTCTCTTCCTCTCTTCTATTTCCCCTATCTTCCCTTTCATTGTATGTTTCAACTCGACCTCCGCTATATATACTACATTGAATATCTACCTGATGGTACGAGAGAAAGAGCACAAAGGACGGCAGCTTTCTGGGTTGCTTCAGCCTTGTATCTCTCCTCATTCATGTCATCATGTTTGGTATCACGAAGCAAGCAAAGCCGTGAGATCACTTGGAATGCTCGCTCACTGTAGCTCGATATCGGTAAGTTACCTATTAAAAACAAACATATAATCACGATCAGATAGATATTAACATGAACACAAAGGCGGCGCTCCCGGATGGCAGGGGGTGCAGTGCCACCCCCCCCCCCTCCCACCCACCTTTTCAAGTACCCCAAAAGTGCCCATTTTACTTTGAAAAGTGCTCCTATTACTTTTCAGCTATGATTAGTCCCCTTTTTATTTTGACACTTGTCCATTTTCCTTTGCAATAAGTATCCATTTTTCATTCTCATAGGTGCCCATTTTTACATAGGAAAAGTGCCCATTTTATTTTGAAAAGTGCTCCTATTACTTTTCACCTATGATTAGTCCCCTTTTTATTTTGACACTTGTCCCTTTTCACTTTTACCCCCTTCACCTCTGATAATTACCCTATTCAAATTTGAGAGGTGCCCCTTTTCCTTTGTAAGAACTGCCCCTTTCCCTTTTAATAGCTACCCCTTTTCAACTCAGATAAGTGCACCTTTCGTTTTCATAAGTACCCCTTTTCATATCTGGTCAGTGCCCCTTTTCAGGTAAGATAAGTGCCCCTTTTCACCTTTGATTTAAAACAAATTAAACAATAATACGAGCGCCCTTTTCTTTTCTAATAAGGAACCTATCTCCTTTGCATAAATGCCCCTTTTCTCCTCTTATAAATGCCCCTATCAAAATCTGATAGGTGCCCCATTTTCGTCGACAAATGCCCATTTACCATTCTCTTAAGTGCCTTTTTTCATCCCTGGTGAGTGCCTCTTTTCAGATATAGGAAGTGCCCCATTGTCACCTTTGTACTTTGACACGTGCTCCTTTTCTTTTCCAATAGGTGTCTTATCTCTTTCGATAAGTGTCCCCTTTTCCTCTCATCATTAAACGCGCCTCTAATATAAAGCGACTAAGAGCAATTTCCCCTAAAGCTCGCTCGCTACACTCACTCGCATTAATAGATGATATAATTATGTTACTTATCACAGGTCTTTTCAGGCTTCCGTTAATATGAGAATGTGCTCATAACCCCATCAGGATTGGGTTTTTCCTTTTTATATAAAGATGTAATTTTTCGCATTGCGACCTCAAAAATCTTTAAATTTTCCTCGCTCGCTCGCAAATAAATATTCAGACCAAGCTTAAGCAATATATTGTATGATGTTTAAAGATAAACATATATTTAAGGCATCCCAAATAATGTAATCAAACTATAGGGGTATATACTATTATTACTAATGTCTAATAAATTGTATATTTTCGCTTTGATTTTCCCATCAATCAAATAATCATATTTGATTGATACACGTCTGTAAGAAGCCAATTACACACACACGCATACGAGAAACATCTGATATACATAAAAGACGCCAAAATAAAAATTTTCCTGGAAATGACTTGTGACCCCCACCACAATTGATCACGCAGTTTGATTGATGTTTAATCGCAATGTATCTCATAACGCATTCGATATTGAGTGTGAAAGTTCAGAGCTTGCTACAGCTCAAACTTTGGGTGAGTGTGCATGCCCTTTGTGTTATTCGTCTTCATAATATGGTCATTCATCTTCTAAATAAAACTCACCATAAACTTTGTAGGAATAGCCAGCAATTATCGTTTGGATATCGTCTCTCTTTTCTCGAACAAAAGTATCCATGTCCTTGTTACATAACTTCTCCTCAAACTGGATACAAGTCAGAATATGAAGAAAGACAACAATAAATAGAATTAAAAATGAATAATACTGTAAATTCTGTGAGATATATATGAACGATAAATTCACATGATTTAAGCCAAATATTTCTTCTTTACATGTCCATTCTCAGGTTGCAACAATAACGTATTTGAAAGGGAGGAAAAGGAAATTTTCCAACTCGGAAACATTTCCAATTATTTATTTTTAAAAATCTTTTATTTAAATGAAAATGTAAATGCAAGGCTCATACAATCATCAGGTTACTCTTAGAACCTTGTAATCAATGGACATTTTCTCAACAAAAAAGTGTGATGCAGAAACTGAGTTTATTAGGAAGTCAAAGTTCATTAATAGAAGAGAAAGAGTGACGGGGAACGCAAATAATAATAAACCACAAACTATTTTGACACAATGCAGTATCGAATGCGACAAATCTGAAATATTCTTAAACATTAAAGCCCCTTTTAAGTGATGGGAGCCCAAAATTCGCCCAAAATTTGATGGCAAAGTATCACTTAAATTGTTTCATAATGTGAAAGAGAATGTCATTTATTATGCACTTCTGCAAAGATCCCCCCTCCCCAAATCTGTTTGAAGACTTCAATTACAGTTGTTTTGAAAATCCATGCAGAAATGTGTCGTAAATGACACCTTCTTTCAAATTATGATACAATTTAACTGAAATTTAGCTATCAAATCTTTGGGGCTCCCAACACTTTAAAGAGGCCTTTAAAAGAAAGCAAACTGTTAATCATTCAATTTCACAAGCAGAATCATAGTCAATCGACGTCGGCAAGGAATTTAAAAGAAATAGAGGTGGCAAGAGTAAGAATCTCATCATTATCATACTTGTTGGAAAAGGTTTTAGCAAACATGCCAATCCCACCCCCTCGCCGATTGAAATAATGACTACCAGTACTGACGCCCTGTCAGCAATAGTGCAAATTGTAAGCACCGCATTTAAGACATGCTTATTGACAATATTTCTGCAAACTTGTTAATGATCTTGGTCGAACATCAACCCCTCCCCCGCCTTGAGAATAGCGACAACAAAACAAAAGTAATAATGATACAAAAGACATACCAAAGAAGTACTGCGAAGATGGTGCTGCCACAGGTGTTGCATGTTCTTTGTAACATCTGCAAACGCCTCTATTAACCTCTCAATAAGCTCTGCTGATAATCTGGTATTATCAGTATCGTGTTGGATCTCTCCTGTTTCTTCATCGCAGCTTTCATCATCATCTTCATCATCACCTGCCGATTGTTCATCTTCTGACCAGTGACAGTGTTTCTTTCTCTTCAGATAGCTACTGGTTAGGAGAGTCATTGCACTTCCAAGCCTTCGTTTACGGGGTTCTTCTCTTGATGGATGTATTCTAGAAGTAACAAGGTGGTGTGGATCCTTCACAACTATTCGCTCATTATCACACGACGCAAGATGGTTAAAGACAGATTTTTCTGCTGGGCATTTAGGAGAAAGCTCTACTCGCTGCCCATGCCATCCTGTATCGTAAGTGTTCTCACAAGATACTGTCTTTAGAGGAACAAGTTCCGTATAGCTCTTTGACTGTCCAATATCCACATGGTTAGAATCACCCGCTCTATCATCAGCCATACAGATATTCTGATTGATATCTTCGGGTTTATGATCTACTGTCTTGTCTCTGTATAGGTTAGCATATGCCAGAGCAGCTACAGCGCCTGCTTGCACCTCAGGGATAGTCAAGGTAACTGGTGCCTTTCCTGATTGCGTTCTCATTCCATTGTCCCACTGATCATCGGATGATACTTCACTGGTGGTCGAAGGACTTTGTTGAGATACTTGCCATCCATCCCCTTGTGTCACGTTGATCGGAAGGGTCGTACTAGGTGAACGCGTCATCATGGTGTAGTTGTTCTGGACGCAGCTTGTAGCACTATACGTAGCTTCCATCTTCCACGTCAAGTTCGATGTCGGAATGGTCCCATGGTCGAATGATCCATAGCCCGTCATATCACCGTGCCCACCAGCGTATGTATACTGGTTTTGGAACGGTTCGCTACAATGATCACACTGAGACATCGTTTCGTGTTTCAGGTGATAGCATCCCTCACCGTGCAGACCGTACTTGGACATGACGTCGATTTCTAAGTCCTTATAATGAGACTTGACGTAGTCTGGATGTGTAGTCACGTGGCCATTTAATGTTGGAGACCACGAGAGGCTTCGTGGACTACCTGCTATAATGGGTATCGAACCCATATCTATTCTGTTGGCGTAACACATATGCTGTAACGGTTCATTCTCTACTTTCGGTCGGCGTCCCAACTTGATACCTGCATGGTGAAATTAAAAAAAAAAAAAAAAAATCCAGATGACGTGTACATGTATATTCAAAATTTAAACACATGTGGAGAAAAAAATATTAACATAATACAAAATGATACAAACTTATGTATGTGAAAGTTAATTTGTACACGTATCCAAGCAATAGGCCCTACCAATAAACAAATCTGAAATTAACACACGTTTGGTGAGGCATTGGTCTGTCATGCAGATATACCTATGTACAACGACTTCATTTGTATAAAACGTCTTTTAATAGAGAATAACAAGTTCAAAATGAAAGTAACACAATGGAGAAATACAATTTCATTGTTTTGTTTGTTTCGTATTGTGATTTTCATTTTGACATGTTTAACATGGAAAACAGTATTAATGCTGATATTAATGCTAATAATTACTATTATTATTATTAGTAGTAGAAGTATTATTATTATTATTATTATTATCATTATGATTATTATTATTGTTATTATTATTATTATTATTATTATTATTATTATTATTATTATTATTATTATTATTATTATTATTATTATTATTATTAATGATCAGCTAATATATTGTTTTACATATCGGTACTGCGTAAGATACCGAAATTTCAACATAGTACAAAAAGTTTAAACACTTATTGGGAAAATATACAGTTAAGTAAAGGATAACAAAATAATGACAATTTACTTAACATAATAAGGGTTTGTATTGATTTTTCTTTCTCTCTCCATCCATTGATAATGGAATATTTCACCTCCTTTATTTCCTTGTTTTTTTATTAGTTTTGTTTACTTTTTTTGATTTTGCAAACTTTTGAGGAATATGACTAAAAAAATATAAAATCTTTGAACAAATGCTACCAATTTCCAATTTCAAACTTCTATTCATGTCTTTGTGAAAAATATATTTAGTGGTCGACATTTTCGTCATTCCCTGATTGGTGGGAGCACGGCGGAAATCATTATTAGGGCTCAATCTATAATCTAGACCTAGAAAGTTAACGCGATTCTCATTGTTTGGTTGAAATCAGTACAAATGGTCTCAATAAATCAGTCCAATGATCATTCATAGCCTTACTGATGAACATGTCCCTACCATAGAGAGATAATAGGCGACATTAATAAGCAGACAATAGTCTTTAGTAGTTCATTAGTACAAAACAACGGTTTCCTCCATGTAATTTAAGGCGGTAAACTGCGTGCCTAATTAGCCATAGCATATTATGCTGAATCTGGAAGAGTTTTGTACGTCTTTTATTGAGTAGAGTACCTCCAATAAAGCAATCGATAGACTTGATAAATTATTCAGATTGTGAAAATTCTTTCTGCTCTTATCATGTTATATATTATTTCAAGTAAATCGAATGACCTCTGACTCCTTAAAGCTCTTTCTTTTCATACACTACCATGAGAAGTTTTTAGAAAATGACTCGACAATGAGAGACATGTTGCACTCCACAATGGGTTTCTTAACAGTCATAATTTCAATATTCCACAGTAACAGTTTTAAGAAACATATTTCCCCCTCTCTCTCTCTCTCTCTCTCCCCTCTCTCTCTCCCCTCTCTCTCTCTCTCTCTCTCTCTCTCTCTCTCTCTCTCTTCCTCCCTCCCTCCCTCCCTCCCCATACCGCAAGACACATTCTACGTTGTCAAATTTCTAAGGAGAGGGGTAGATAGAGAAAGACAGTGGCAATGACACTTCCAGTTATAACTTTAGTTCCCAATCACGAAAAATATGAGTCTTCTTTTGATTTAAAGAAATTGTAACCTTAAGGCTGAGCCTATGAATTATATATTCACTGCATGGATCAAGATCGACAAGAGGTCTCATTTTAAGATTATATTGAAATATAAGACTTACGGGAAGATATATATATAACAAATTTTTACCTTCTTTTGACATTCCAAGACCAATGCATTTTTGAAATCGACAAAATCGACACGAGTTCCGCGTTTCCATGGTGATTTCACAACTTCGTTCCTTAGCACATGCGTAGTTAGCCCCTTCACGGATGCTCCTCCTGTAAAAACACTGAACAGGTACCAAAAAAAACCAAAAAAAATCACTTGTATTTGTTCACATATTATAACATTTCTCACTTGTTTCCATTTTAAAGATAAACTTTAGTACTGGTAATGCGATTGCATTGTGAAAGAAAAGGTGTGAAAGGATCAGAAACAGTTGATCATGTAGCATGTAAGTATTGGTGTGCACTGCAAGGTTCTGGAGTCATCAAAATCATAATAAATTTGACCGAGTCTTGGTAAAGTAACAAACACTCACATAGAAAGCTACATATGGGACAACACACATGGTGTCGGGGATGGTACTACCTTGGTTTCCTTGTCTTTCTATGCTCATTACTCAGCCAGTATACATTTTCTTCCAAAATTGTTTGGCACATGTCATTTATTTGTAATCTTGAACATTCAGTGTAAGTTTCGTTTGATTCTGTGAGAATTTTTTTTTTTTTTTACCAGTACTGGAGTTTATCTTTAAACTCTTTACCCTTCAAGTTTAGTTTTGGTGTATATGTTTCAGCGATTCAATTATATATTAGTTTGAAGTGATAATATTTATTGAACGTATAATGTGCACTTTGAATGGTATATGGCATGATTTTAATGTACAATGCTAAGCTACATGGATTACATGGGTCATACATAAGCCCTGGCCTGTGTAATTAGACTATGAACTAATAATTTTGCAATTTGTTATCAGCAGCAACAAACAAAATCATTCATTAATTTGTTTTCATTTTGCGTTTTTTTTTATAGAAAAAATGGGCACCTTTAATTTAGCGTTTTATTTCATTTACCTATAACCATCTGAATATCTTTGAAGCATCATGTATCATCGATGTATAGGTGAAAAACAAAGTCATGTTAAACTAAAGTTTGATTTACATTATGTACCATATTGTTATCATTCCTCCACCGTGTTAAGCATCTCACCTACACGGTTCTTTGTGTGCACATTCATTCAAAATTCGTCACGTTCCGTATTTGTATTCATAATTAAAATTGCCCCCTTCATCCATACACAATACCGATGTTTCTTATTGAATTATATACACGTCCTTTAAATATGGCTAGCTCACTTTCAATTCATCCATACAGTTTGCCGGCGATGCTTCATACTCAATCAAAAATCATATGACGGCAAGTTTCACCATGGAGTGAAAAAATGTGATTCAAAGGTGTAAAGGTGGAGATCAAAATGAAGAAATATAACAGGGATAAATGTTGACGGGATTCTCTCTCTCTTTCTCTCTCTTTCTCTCTCTTTCTCTCCCTCTCTCTCTCTCTCTCTCTCTCTTTCTTTCTCTCTCTCTCACACACACACACACACTCACATTTTCTCTCTCTCTCTCTCTCTCTCTCTCTCTATGTGCGTCTCTTTTTCTGATTAGGGGAAAGAAAATGGTATGAGGTTTTAATATACATGTATTTGAATAAAACATAATAGTTGTATTATGAATCGGGCCTGTCTAGAAGTGAGAGGTAGGATGAAGCTCATGCAAGTATTATGAACAATGTTTACATGTATGCTGGGCAACCGGGAAAGTATGCATACAAGTAAATGATTATAATACTGATAATGTAACGTTTCATCTCTCACTTTATTTAAACATTGATTTACATCAATTTTGAGTTTTCAACCAGACAGCCTTGTTCATAATCTATTATTACGTTTCTTCTAGAATTGGAGATTTTTCACAATGAAAGCGATCGAAACAATAGTAGCCAAGCAACAAGTGAGATTGAACATTATTTTCCGCTGGTGTAATACCAACTATATGCCTCGTCATCTTAAAGTTACGAGACATTGCCAATTTCTTTGTGTTTTTTTCTATTCTCGGGTGACCTTGTATCAAAGTATTAAACTTATTACATTCTCTTTTTTCTCAGAAATTGAGGCCAAATATTGATAATAATACCCTTTCGATCATTAATCTTGATGCGTTCTAAAGGTCTGCGTCACATTAATTATTCAAGTTGTGCGGTTTTATCTCAGTGTGATCGGTGCACTAAGCTGAGACAAAGGAAACCTTCAATCATTAACCAACGCTCGAATGGATCTTTTGTCAATACATTTTTTATTCAGTTTAAATTGCGGTTAACTCATTAAATTTTATGAAGACACAATGAGATTGGTTTGTTTTGCTCAAGATATAGATTTTTATATTTTACGTAGGCCCATTTTTATTTTTCCATGTGCATTTCATCAGGAGGTTAATAATAATAATAACTTTTATTTACCCAGGGTAGCCACTTCAGTTATGAAACTGTTCTTCCAGCGGGCCCTGCATAACATAATATGTTATTACTACCCTTCTCCAATCTAATATGCTGAGCGCCTAGCTAGAAGGCAGAAGGTACCATTGTTATAAGTCTTTGGTATGACTCGGCCGGGGTTCGAACCCACGACCTCCCGTTCATGACGCGGGCGCTCTAACGACTGAGCCACCATGCCCGGTTGAACCAACTTTACCGTCACAATTTTCATAACACAATATCATGCACCCATGTCATCATCACATTACCTTCACCAACACTCTTACTATGATCACCATCCTCACCTCCACAATCTCCATCATCATCATCATCATCACCATCACCCCGACATCAAAATCATCATTATCATCATCATCATCATCATCGCTATCACCCCGACATCAAAATCATCATTATCATCATCATCATCACCATCACCCCGACATCAAAATCATCATTATCATCATCATCATCACCATCACCCCGACATCAAAATCATCATTATCATCATCATCATCACCATCACCCCGACATCAAAATCATCATTATCATCATCATCATCATCATCGCTATCACCATCATCACCTCCACAATCTCCATGATCCTCACCATCATCACCACCATCTCCTCCACCACCATCATTACCATCACCGTCATCGTCATCATCATCAGCAGCAGCTTTCACCATCACCTAAAATACCAAGAACATCATCGTCGTCAACACAATTACCAGGACTATCATCACCATGACAACTATCACACGATCATCATCGTCGCCATTCCCACGGTGGTCACCTCAAACATCATCGTTATCCCAACCATCACAATCATTACCACATCACTACCATCATCATTATCACCATCATCACTAAAATAACCAACACCACCATTGTCTTCATCACCGTCTTCGACACCACCATTGCTATCATCTTTGGCGAAATTTTATGATGATGGTGACGATGATGACGATGATGATGATGATGATGATGATGATGACAATGATCATGATGAGGATCATGATGACGAAAATGATGATGATGATGATGATGATGATGACCATGATGACCATGATGATGCTGTTTACATTATGAAAGCAATTCATGATAGGACTGGACCTGCCAATGTAGGAGGAAACTTCTTTTGAGTAGAACGAGTGCAATGACTTTTTTACTAAAAATATTTAGTCATTTGAGTCTCATCGTATACCTCATTGTTGAGATTAATTAAACGTTGTTCAGAAACAAAATGGTTTTATATCAAATATTTTTATCGTTATGTTATAAACTGTAATTATCGGAGATTATTTGTCAATTTGTTTGATTTCATTGGCGATGCAGAAAAGCTTTAGACTTATTCATCAAATATTTACGCGTTCATCTTTACATATACATGATATAAGCAATTTGCGACGCATAGAGGGAATAATTGCTAGTGTTTATCGGCCATTAAAATTACACGATCTCTTCTTTTGTTCTATTGCATGCGTGCGATCAACGCTTAATTCATTCCATTCAAATACCGGCTGCCTGCCCACAGGACCTTAGGCCTTGATATTCTAATCAACTTTTTCATAACAAAGAAAAAGTTGATGTCAAAATTGAACGAAAAGAGAAAAACAAAAGAACCTCCTTACTAGGATAGCCTCATAGAAATTTGAATATGTTAACAGAAAGTTAATATTTCAATAGATTTAATTAATCTGAGTATACTCGGTAATGAGAGGGTACTGTAAATGGACAAGGTTAATAACTCAGAAAAGAACTATGATTTTGTTTTTTTTAGAAATAAAGATAGGATAGATAATCAGTTCACAAACATCTGCTAGTATGGTCCATCATTTTGATTAGAAAATAAACACAATTAAAACAAATAAAGAAAAAGAGAGCGACATTGTTTCTCGATAACAGACATTTCTAAAAGACATTTACTTCAATTTTTTGGTATGATGACCTTTCTAGGACAAAAATTAAGGTGAGACAAAAATTAATATGGCATTTAGGTATACCTTGAATTATAATGTTATATCAAACAGAAGGCAAAAGACAAGTTCGTTCTGGTTTACAATTGTGAGTATTTTTGTACATCTCAACAAGGATTTCTTTTTTAATTCTTAAACAATGCATGACTTGTATTACAATCGCATAAAAAACAAATGAAATAGACTTAAATAAATGAAGGCCTTTTTTTGACAAAATAACATATATATTGTGGAGGGGAAAAAAACAGTGGCAATACAGCAGATGAAGAAGGGGGCACGGGAGATAGAGACAGACACAGACGCAGAGATAGAGAAAAAGACAGAGACAGAGAAAGAGACAGAGACAGAATAATACAGAGACAGAGACAGAGACAGAAAAAGAGAAAGAGAAAGAGAAAGAGAAAGAGAAAGAGAAAGAGAGAGAGAAAGAGAAAGAGAAAGAGAAAGAGAAAGAGAAATAGACAGAGACAGAGAAAGAGAAAGAGACAGAGAAAGAGACAGAGATAGAGCCAGAAAAAGAGACAGATACAGAGACATAGAAAGAGACAGAGAAAGAGACAGAGACAGAGAAAGAGACAGAGAAAGAGACAGAGACAGAATAATACAGAGGCAGAGACAAAGAAAGCGACAGAGACAGAGACAGAGAAAGAGACAGAGACAGAAAAAGAGAAAGAGATAGAGACAGAGCCAGAGAAAGAGACAGAGAAAGAGAAAAAGACAGAGACAGAGACAGAGACAGAGATAGAGAAAGAGAAAGAGATAGAGACAGAGCCAGAGAAAGAGAAAGAGAAAGAGAAAGAGAAAGAGATAGAGACAGAGCCAGAGAAAGAGACAGAGAAAGAGAAAAAGACAGAGACAGAGACAGAGACAGAGATAGAGACAGAGAAAGAGACAGAGACAGAGAAAGAGACAGAGAAAGAGACAGAGACAGAATAATACAGAGGCAGAGACAAAGAAAGCGACAGAGACAGAGAAAAAGACAGAGACAGAGACAGAGATAGAGAAGGGGACAGAGACAGAGATAGAGAAAGAGACGGAGATAGACATGGTAGACAAGAGTGGAGTGGAAGAGGGATGGAGGGGAGAAAAGGGGAAAAGAAGGCAGTGAAACAAATACAAAATGATGAAGTCTTTTCATTTTGTCCAAAAAGGCCTTCATTTGTAGTCTTTTTAACATCTTGATATCTGTCAGTAAATAAGACATTTTTTGAAAAATAACAGTCGACACGATAAATGAGCTTACTTTGATAACTTATTCGAATAAAGATAACGAATGAAAAAAAAATAGAATCGACCAAAATTTTGGAGGCAAGATGGGCAATGAGAATATTGAAATACTTTAATCATGTCGTAGAATATACAGTAGGCTTGCGGATGTCATAGAAGGTTTTCATATCGTGGGGCATCAACATTTAACATCTTACCTTCTACTCTAAAACTATCCCCAAATTACAATGAATTCATAAGGTTATTAAATAAACATAAGTTGAAAACTGCTTCCCTTTAAAAATAAAATAATGTTGATATTGATCAATAATAGGGTGGATGGGGGTTTTGGGTTTTGCTCTTGGGTGGGTGGGGGCATGATACTGCGTAAACAATGTTGTTTTTATATTATACCAATATGATAAGAACTTTAATTTATGATATATCATTTTTCTCGTTTGTTATGTATTGTAAACGGTCCCCTCGGTAGAACAGCTGTGCTGCACTGACACAGCTGAGCAGGGCGATCCATCCAATGTTATTTTCTCATGTTATAATGCATATTGTTATTTATATATTTCTTTGATACATAAAATCATATCAAATCAAATCAAAAGGAAACGTACATCGCATTGAAAAAGTGGATGGGTATGAAATAAAGTTGTATAGGATAGCTAAAGTGATTGATAAAGAAAGAAAAACCTACCTTGCATCCCTCGCATGTAAATACACCGAAGTGAAGTCCAGACGACATCGCACCGCAGACTTGACAGGGTATCTTACGGCTGCTCTGCGGCTGCATCGAACCAAGCTCATCTACAAAGAATTAATCACAATCAAACAACATGCTGTAATCTATCAAACAATGGTTTTTCATTGAATGCTCAAATTTCTGTATGTTTGGGAAACACGTAATGTTGGATTTAGTATCGTTTCATTCATATGAAATGTATACATGAATGTCCGAAAAAGGCTTCCAGTCAACAATCACATTAATAATGTAGTTCCAGGACGAAAATTTTCATTTTAAATGCCCAATGGAGACTATTGCCACATCTTTTTGTAGACCTGTAAATTTATAAAATTAACTCACAAATTATCCGATACAGAACAATTGTGTTCAACCGAAAGTCATATAACGAGAGAGAATAATGTACCAATCATAAGACAGGAAATAAGACTGTAAACAGAGAGTGAGAAAGGAATATAATGATATAGAATAATAAAAATTGCAAAGGAATGAAAAGTAGATGCCGAACTTGTAAAATGTGGATTACATGAACTGGACAGGTATACAGGGAGGAACCATTTTTTATTCAGGAGGAAATCTCAGATTTACAAGAGTTACTACCCAGGCAGGCAATATCATTGCAGCCTTCCAATCTTTCATTGAGGTGTAAAGACCTACTTCAGCGTGGAGCCAACATAAAGTACCTTGTTTTCTGGTTGATATCAGATACTGCCTGACATATCATTAGCATTTATACATGATATTTCACCGTTCACAAGTCACTAATAGAATGATGTCACTACTATGATTTGGAGCGTGCATGGCTAGGTAATCAGTCTTCCATATACATGTAGATAGACATAAAAATACACAAATATGTCGAGTAGCTCACAGTGGATTATGATAAGAAGAAAGTAAAGAGTTATGGCCTCACTGTGACATCCTGATCAATTTGAGAGACAATAATATTGTTTAAAGTCAACAAATAAATCATCAACATAGATAGATATAATCACTTGAATTGGATAAACGCATTTCAGATAAAATGTGCTTATATTCATGTCTTCTAAGTATTCACGTTCCTTAATTTTAAGTATGAGGGAAATATTAAAACTATCGCTCGCTATATACTCATGTCTATACCAATCGTCCTGTGACTCATGGTATGTATAGCCTATTTTTATACAATGGCATACGTAACTAAATTCTTCGCGCAGAAATATTTTGTTTTTATTACAACCTTTTGAACTGAAGGTCGGCTAAGACAAGGTAAAGTAATTGTCGAAGAACTTGTAAAATTCAATTATTCCAGAACAGGATACGCTAATGTATGTTTACATTTCTCATCATACATCGTAGTGTTAAATGCTCTTTACTCTCAAGCATGGTGTTTCAAGTTTACTCTAAAGCTTTGCCTAGGAAACCACACTCTCTAACAACAGTGTAGCTCTTACAAATTCTATTATTGATTCTTACTCCAGAACAAGTGTAATTTTACCGCCGATAATGCCACGATATGAATAAAATTCCGGGTTTCTTTATAGAAGTATAGCACATCATTATGGAGCTTGCAAGCATACAATCATGAAGAGTGTGGAAACGTATCTTCTTTATTAGATTAGTCACAAGAAAGGAAAATGGCACGGTTGATTAAACAGACAAAAAGGTGTTTATTTTATGAAAACGATAACTGTGTATACCATATACGTTGACTCTGTCTGGGCACGCACAAGCTTTTAACATGTTTCATGTTTTTCTAACATATTCCACGTCTAAAAACATTAGAAAATGAGAGAAAAAAGAAAGATAGAGTTTGAGAGTAATTGTCACGGAGCTGAAAATTTATATTTCCTACCAACTTCAATTAAGGAGCCATTAGGAGTAACCACCATTGCCGAAGTAGGAGAAGTTATGATGTATAAAGTTACAACAGAACGTTTTAGTAATTAAGTCGTCTTTTGTTTTAGTTCTCTGTTCAATTGTTGGGAAAATCATGTCAAAGAAACCGAGAGACTAACACTTTCAAGATTTCACTTTGTAAAATTATATTTTATGAACAACTTCATTTAGAATAAGGAGGTCGAGACTCTCTCAAACATTAATGAATCTGAGACCGGGTGGGATTGGTTGATTAGTCTCGAGACGTACACATCTCTGAGTAGTCAATCGCAGAAGTATACCTGCTACAATCTGCCAGGCGCGGATCCAGGATTTCTTAGGGAGGGGGGAGGCCAAAATTTGAAATCAATTTGAAATTTAGTGTGCTAAAATTTGAAAATCGTGCCGGGTAGAGGGGGGGGGGGGGGTAGTGAGCACTAATTTTGTTTCTTCTATTTTGACCCCGAAAATTTGAAAATCGCGCGGGCCGATAGTGAGTGCTTTTTGTAATACTAAACACCCCCCCCCCCCCCCTGGATCCGCACCTGCAACCTGCTACAACCATTCTACATAATATTCAGTTTCGTATAACAACAACGAATGATGCAAGTAAATACAGATCTATAATTTGATCTCATTTAAACATGTGATGAAAGGCTTGTTATAAATATTTATGTATGATTTTATCCATGATTTAGTATCTGAATAAACATTTATTTCAACAACAAAAAACGAAACAACGAATGAAAACTCATAAATTACATAAATTTAAAGTGGCAAATTTAAAGAATGCATAATCACTCTCTTCATTTAGAAATTCTTATTTTTTTGATAATTTAAACATTAGCGTACATTATTTTTGACTGCCCGAATATGAATTTTCCAGCTTCTAAATTTGCAAGTGAGCGAAGCTAGCTTGGAGTAAAAATGAATGATAATGGTAAGAATATTCTTTCGTTTATGAAATTATGCCTATGCAAATCAGTTTGCTTTATTTGAAAGTTTACCTCGTACTATTCAAAACTATGATATCATGTTGTTTGTCTGATATTGAATATCAGGAGGCCTTCGCCTTTTGCTCGGTTAGTTTCTCACTTGTATGCCTTTGCTTTTGCTTTGAGTTCATGACTTCACCCCCTTCAATTCACTGCAAGCATTCAAGTTGAATGTTTGTTCCGCATTTACAAACAATTTATGTGAAGTCACACCTGCCAATTACTGCGTACATTTTATATCTAATTTCATTGATTTCATTTTATCATTGCAAAAATTGCAATCCTTGAAGTATATAAAAAATATTATGGCCTTTGTAATGCGAATGACGTAGCGTCGTAAAAAAATATACAATTTGATTATAACAAACCGGGAAAACATCTTTGAACAGAACGTTGCAAAACGGAAACATCTATGACATTGCATAAGTTACATTGTTGTCCATTACTTACATAACTTAGGTATATTCATGAGCTGATTGGGAAAATGTGAAATTCCCCCTTTCGGCAATTCCAAGAATTCCCATCAAATTTCCATCAATTTGTAACATTCAATCAATTTCTTGTCCAGTACAGTGAATGGTACACGTTGTAATTGGAGACCTAGTTTTTATAAAATATGAAACGGACACGTAATTAAACCTTTCTGCATGCACTGACCTCTCTATTGTGGTGAAAATATAAGCAGGACCATTTTAATAAGTCATGTAACAGCAAAATACCAGTAATGCTGCCAAGTCCAAATTCTAATTTCTACAAACAATAGTTTGCCCGCTTTCCCTTTATCGCTTTAATCTCCTTTCGAATTTTTAACCTGATTATTAACGACTACAAGCAAACTCAACGGTTGATTCGAAAGTTCGAAAAGTTGTTGAGTTCTTTTTTTCATTTATAATTTGGATATCTATCGAGATTGAATACAATAACCGAAGTTTTAGAGTGGGTTAAAGGTCATTGATGTAATATTTTTGCAGTTTTAGTGTCCTTACATCTTAGATGAAAGTGTATTTATTTGAGTGTTGGTGATGAAGAGAGCTCCTGCACGAGTGACGAACATCTGGATTTCCATCTTCGTGTTGTATTCAGGAATTAAAGTATTCACAGTCATGCCTGTAATAGACTTTTTTGTCCAAGATTTATAACAAAAAATAAGGTCATAGGAAAAATAAAGCCCTCCCGCGAATAAACAATCTTTTGTACTATGGGAATTGGAAAACGGATGCAAACAAAGGGAAAAGTTCTCAATGACATCATGACACCAGGCCGGTGGGAAAACAGCTAAAAATTATAACTTTCTAAAACCTTGTCCGATATTTCTGAAACTTTCTTCTTTGCTTCTACTCAACTTTTGAACGAGAAGCAAATTTCCTGAAAATAATTTGAGCACATAATCGTTCTGTAATACAAGTTGGAAATGTTTGAATATTTCAAATAGTTTTCTGATGTTCAAAACGCTCTTTTTAAGGTCATGATAATTAGCCGTTTTGACCCAAATGAAAACATATTATTTCTACGTCTACTAAGGTTATGGTGAAGTCTAATCTCGTACGACGTCGAAAATAGATAATGAAAAAAGAAAGGTCCCTGAAAAGAAAAAAAACGAAACCCGAAAACAAACGATTATTGTGAGTAAACTACTCAGTATGGGCTGTTTGAAAATAGTTCTATAATTTTCATAAATTCTTTGTAATATGTTTCCAAATGACCCATTGAAGACTTTACTCCAAACACACTTCACTGAACTACGTTGTTCTGAAAATGGCATGTCAAAATCCTTTTGTGCCAGATTTGTGTAAAACGGTGAAAATGTTAGTTTATCACATGCGAACATGACCTAAGGGAAATGTAAGCTTTAAAACATTATTATGCCATATTTACACTGTGTGATTATGTGCGTTTAATTAATCTGTTATGAATAGTAGGAGCGAACACTCAGATTTTTTCCAACCAATAAATATCCCTCGAGCAATTAAAATGTGCCCCTTTTTTGATTGAAAAAGGTGCCCTTACTGAATGGAAACTTACATATTCTGTTGATGATTTTCATGATGTCCCCATTAGACCATACCTTTCTCTCTTTACCACAATGGAATTAGCCCTTTTCTCCGATTCTTGTGGAAATATCTACTGCGAGCTTTGCGCTTTTTAAAAAATTGCAGTTTTGAAAACGTGCAAAAGTCACTCTTCATAACCATTGCAAACCGCTTTACACGTGA